TGATTATCTCCACAGAATGTGGGTGTGTGGTCACTCTTAGCTTCATTTCTCCCCATAGACCTTACTGGCATGGGTGTCCCTACCAGGAGCTTGTGCTCCAGCCTGCATTGCCCTATGGATCTGTAAAACTACTGGGCTCTCCCACCACGACCAGGTGGTGACCACAGGAGAGTTATTATTATTATTATGTTTTCTGGTTTATTTTATTTAAAATTACAATAATTATATATATACAAGTAAAATGGCAAAACTGTATTTGGGACAAGACCATGTCTCGGAGACTCACTACTAAGTGGAGAAATCACTTTGATGCTCAAGGTGGGTCTCATTCTCATTCTCCAATCTTCTTTGGTAGCGCTGCTTTTGGGCACGATCGTTCAAACTTTGCTGGCCACGATGCATTTTTTATGAAATTAACCTATCTAATTTCAAAATTTCTCTCCGTTGCATGTCAGCCCGGGTTGAATTTTTGTCGATGCGTAATGAAAATTTCCCGTTTTTGAAAAATCAATCGTGGCTATTGTATCGTCCGAATTTATTTTTTTATTTTGCACAAACAATATACAGTTTAACTGATTATAATGTCATCGGATGTAATGACAACCCTAATATAATGTCAAATTTTTATCAGTCCCACGATTTTACTATGCTAGATAATGTTAAATAAACCCACTTGTAACGACATAAAACCATTTTAACGTCAGATTTGAAGAACTCCCAAATTTACAAAATTAGATTACAAATTTTATTTAACATAGAAGAAACTACGTGTTCAGTCCTAAGGTCCTTCTTAGAATGATTGTGGGTGGTACTCTCCCCACATGACTTTGGTGGGGTGAGGTGCCTGTTTTGCCTGTTTGTAGAAGAGGGTTGCTATTTTGTATTTTATTTTGACTCGGTTCTCTGACTACCTACAAGTCTGGATTTTTTTATGTGCAAATGATTTGGGCACCTAATACTCTGTGCCAAATATCAACTCTTGACATGTACTCCTTCATACCTCTATACTGGTAACAAAAAACAGCAGTACGATTTTATAAACAAGAGATAGTCTTGTCAATAACTTATATACAATCATTTATAAATTTATTAAGCTTCAGCCATTTATATACTCTATATAATATATAATTAAATGATAAAAATTATAAATAAGAAATTTTGCTAAATAATAACTCTTATAGTTTTGTCATGAATAATATGCAGTCTTTAAAATATTTACATTGGTGACAATTTAACTATCTTAATGAAAAGATGTTCTAACAAAATAAATCTAAATATAGATCAAATATTTATTCTAAGTTTTAAGTTNTAGATAGTGTGTTGCCCATCCTAACTTGGAATCTTCGATTCTGCAGAAAGTTTTTTATAAAAACTGGCAAATTACCCCGCAATCCGAATTCATGTAAATCACGAAGTATTCCGTAACGCCAGCAGCGATCGTAGGCTTTTTCTATATCAAAGAAAACAGACACTAAGTGCTGTCGTCTAACAAACGCTTCGCGTATAGATGTTTCAAGTTTTACTAAATTGTCCGTGGTACTTCTATTCCTACGAAATCCACTCTGATGTGGTGAAAAATAGTTCTTTTCCTCTAGGAGGAACATCAGACGTCTGTTTACCATCCTCTCAAAGAGTTTACACAGGCAACTTGTCAGAGAGATTGGTCTATACTTAGAGGGATTCTTGTGGTCTTTACCATGTTTTGGAATAGGGATAATAATTGATAGTCTCCAAGAGTCAGGAAAAGTATTTTCTGTCCATATTCTGTTAAACAGATGCAGGAGATTACAAAGAGAATTGTTCGAAAGATTTTTAATCATGCTGTAGTGGATTTTATCCGGGCCTACAGCACTATTTTTTGCACGAGAAATCAGAGTTTGTAATTCGATTCTAGTGAATGGCACATTATATTCCTCATTAGATGAGGAGTGGAAGTTTAAATGTTGCTTTTCCTTTTGCACTTTGTAAGCTTGGAAATCCTTTGAATACATAATATTGCTGGATGAAGTAGAAAACGTTTCACCCAACGTATCAGCAATACCCTGTATATCACTTATTATTGTGCCATTATTTTCCAGCATGGACAGAGAGTGAGAAGCATATTTCCCATTAATTTTGTGGATTTTATCCCAGACTGCTTTTGAGTTAGTGGAAGATGTTATGCTAGAAACATACTTCCTCCAAGAATCCCTTTGGCTTTGCCTTCTTATTCTTCTGGCATTTGCCTTTGCTTTTTTAAAAGCAATCAAATTT